CCCAGATGCCAACAGAAGAGGAGAAACTGGCTTGTCAAACAAGAAGTGGTCATCGATCAGCTGCTGCTGCTCTGCATCAGTCATGTTCCTCAGAGCATAGTACTTTCCCTTGAGATCACCATCCAGACTACCCAGAGCTGAAAGAGAGACACTTTCAGGATGGGACCAAAGGTGTTAGACGTTCCCAGCACTTTACAGACCACACACACAGTATGACAATGTCTGATCTGCTGCGTTTGGTTCCTCCCTTGCTTTCATCTGCAACGGCAATGCCTTTGCGGCATTGCAGAACTTGAAGCAGTATCAGATGATTTGTCTGCACCTTCCAGGCTTATACAAGTAGCCTTTGTTCCCTTACATGCAGTATAGAATCGTTACTGCTGCAGAACTTACAAGTGGACTGCTTTCTTCCAAGGAGAACCAAGGTCATGAATATAACAAACAGTATTATTCTAGTCAAGGACTATTACCCTGCCCTTGAGAGGTTTTGGAACAACCACTCTCCCAACCTCCAGAATATGCACCTTGAGCATATCATCATTCTTTCACTTAATGGCATTGGAAGGCAACAGAAACAACTTCCAGCTGAGGAGTTTTCAGTGAAAACTTAGACTTACTCTACTCAGCTGCAGATTTGCAGCAAGACTACACCTCTAAGCAAGCTGAGCATTAATGAAAGTAAATTAAAAGCAGCCACAGAATACTGCATACCCATGACTCAAGCCCTGTAGTTGCCACATACCTGTTACATTTCAGGTTTGAGCCCTGACGAACCAACTTCTTTCACCACACACACACAGACAGAAGCTTTTGAGATCAGCAAAGGTCAACTTAATGCAGCCCAACTTCCTCTGACATGTGCTCTTGCTCTCAGCTACATACTGCAACGCTGAGGCAATGCTAATGCAATGAGCCTTTTCCAGGGAAGGCTCCATGTTCAGACCAAGTCTCCTGGGAGGTGGCTTTTGCCAACTGCCTCCATTTCCAAACTGCAAAGAACAGCTCTTGCACAAAGGACAGACATATTTCCTTGATGCACCCAGTTCTCACTTACCTTCAACAGAGAGCTTCTCAATAGCCCGCCTCTCTCCTCGACTACAGTGCGGGGGAAGACAGAATCCACGGATGCTTCTCCCAGTTCTGACACGGGAACTTAGCACATAATTGGGATCCAGGTCATCACCTCCCTACAAGATTAGGAAACCAGTGAGTACAACCCTGTCACCAAGATACCTCCCCTAAACACACGTAGCTCCCATACATTTGAATGTGCACCTTACACTTGAGGTGTTAACTACTTGGACTGTAAGACAGTGTCTTACTGCAGGACTACTTCATTCAGCATTAGGTCAAGTATGTGTGACACAACCCTTTTTTAGAGGCCAAGGGTACAGCTACTAAATAGTCCTAAAAGACAGGGATACCACCAGACCACCAGTTTTATGTCCATTTCAGACTACAATCTGGGCTTCTGTTACCCCTTCAGATCTGCAATCTAGAAGTATCAACATGAGGCACAACCTTCTTTAGGTAGGTGTTTACTCTTGCAAACAAAAGTTATTCATTACTGTTCTCCAAAGTTTCTTACTTTCAGTATGACCTACGGCAAGCCCATCAATGCGTCATCAAGAACTCCTAGAGTTCACAGTAACATTTGAAATCCATAAACCAGGCAGAAATCCTTACTCCTAGCCATAATATCTATTCTATAGTATGACACCATCAGCCGATATTTAAGATCCAAGATCAGATAGCAGGAAGTGTTTAATTTTTATGACAGGCCATGACTCCTAGGACAATGTTGTTTAGGCTTGACTACTACAGCCCACGGTTCATGGAAATACATAAAGGTGTTTGGCACAACCTGTGCCGCAGCAGCACCTGAGGGAAGCTCCTGCTGCATGCCAGCTGCCTGGTTCTACCCAGCCACTGACATCCTACAGCAGCAAACTCTTCAGTCTGACTGCATCAGACTCACAGCCCATGTGTCTGTGCTCCGTGGAAGTGAGGGGACAGAGCCTGAACAATCAGTTTAGGCAGCTACCAAAAACTTCACAGTCCTCGGACCAGTAACCTGTAATCGATCAGAGGTTTATACCTGCAGGTTATCAGCATTCAGGTCGGTCTTGTGCTGATCACTTGGTTTGTAGCCACCATGCCTGTCTTCAATAACTGGATCAAAGAGCTCCTTAAACACGTCATAGGATTCTTCATCACCAGCCACACATCCTACTGTCATTATGAAGGGATGGCCTGAAGCGGTAATAAAGTCAGAAGAGCTAAGTTTGGGTGACGTTTGGCTGTACTCCAGCGCAGCACTAACCAGGCAAGTTCTTTAGTGGCAAGTCTAGTCACTTAGAAATTCATTCTTACATAAAAACATTTGGAGAGACCCTACATTTTGCACTTCATCCAGTTAATCAAATGCAGTGCTATGGAAACCCATAGCTGTTGTCATTAAACCATGCTCCTTTGTCAAGCTTGGTTTAGGACAAATTTGCACAGCACATCTAATTTTACTAACTAATTTAGATCACTGGATAGAAGTTATGTCTAAACAATCATGCTTTGCTGTAAGCAAGCATGCTTCGCTTTTTTGCTCCTTCTGCTACAGAGCTACATTTCTGTAGTCTGCTCATAAATACCACCTCCACAAGATTAGTTTTAAGTCACCATATTCAAAAGCACCAGTTACTTCAGCTGGTTCACACGGAATATTCTCAACGCGTTTTACCAGGATTATCAACCCCAGTCTGAATGACATCATCCAGGGTGAAGCCACTGGGCGTGACTCTGTCTCTCAGTTTCGTGTATAAATCCAAGGTTAGAACTTTGGCCATGTGGTTGTTGTGGGTGCTCAGGTCCGGGTACTCCTCATCAGGAGGCAGTCTCTGATTATTTAGTTGGGCCATTTTGATATTGCTAGAGTAAAAATAAATACTGTAATGTTAACATGTAAACACATCTGCTCCCCCTTTTCATAGAAGTGCTAGAGAACATCACATAACCAGTTTGGAATAAGAACAGATCAGGACAGCCAGGAAAGCCAACATTTCCCCCCCACCTCCCTCCCTGGTTGCATTATAATTAGGATGTATTTGGTTTGAGGTTTTTGGTTGTTTTTTTTTCCTTCAGATTTAAAGTATTTAGCAGAGTAGTTACATAATTGAAGTGTCTGGGAATTGATATGTCAGATCACAGCATGGAACATGGCTTGAAGGAGCACAGCCTCTTAATAAGGCCATGCCTTTAGCGCAGTCTCTCAATGCTTTGCAAGATTTGCCCCTCAGTAGCTCAAGAGTTTTGGGTGCCGTTGTCAAGAAGCACTTCCAGTCAGGAGGGAGAACAGATCATTATGCAGATCTAACGGTCCCATTACCTGGGTTGTCAACCCCAGTCTGGATGCAATCATCCAGGGTAAATCCACTGGGGGTCTGTTTATCTCTCAATTTCTTGTACAGGTCCGGGGTCAGCACCTTGGCCATGTGATTGTTGTGAGCTTTCAGGTCAGGGTACTCATCCTCAGGTTTGTACTTCATCTTCAGGAGGTTGTGGCTGTTTGAGAAGGGCATGGCTGACCCTACCGTAGTCACTAGGGGAGAAAGAGGGGAAGCCTATCACAGGGGGCTTGGTAGCCTCCGAATCGCCCGGGGGAACGCCAGGCACCCAGGCAAGGTCACCTTGGCTCGTGTTCCACCCGCGCCTTTCACACCTTTGCTGCTACACCGCTTGCCACAAGCGCCAGGAAGGAGGAAAAAACAGAAGTTCTTCACCTCCACCAGCCTGGCCCCGTCCTCACCATCCCGGCCGCAGAGGCAGGGGCTCTCCCGCCTCCCGGGTGAGGGGACGCTCCCAAGGTCGCCGGGAGCGGCCGCGGCAGCGCCGGGCAGACCCCGCGAGTGGCTCCGGGGCGGGGGGAGCGGCCGGGCGGCCGCGGGGCAGGGGTGGCTCAGCCCAGCCGGGACCCGGGTCCAGCGGCAGGTGAGCGGGGCGGCTCCGCTGCGCCCTCGGAGCGCGGCCGCGCCTCCTCCCAGCGCTGCCGGACCAGAAGGTCCCGAGCAGCGGCAGCGCCCGCCGAGCAACGGCTGCTCCCCGGCCAGGGAGCGGAGGGGCGGGAGGCATCCGACAAGCCCTTACACAACAGACGGCTCCCTCGGGGGACCTGGACGGGGCGAGCATATGTAACTACCCTGCTAAATACCGGGTTAATCTGGTTTTAGAGCGGGGCCAGCCCGGTGAGCACCTGCGTCGCGCCCCGCGCCCCGACTGCGCCCCTGCCCTTCGCCGCCCCCCGCTCCCCTCCTCAGCCGGACCGGCTCCACCCCACACGGCAGGGGAAAAAAAGGACAAAAAAAAAAAAGGGGGAAAAAAAGAAAAAAAAGGAAAAAATACAAAAAACTGAAATCCCTTGTCTTAAGGCTGCATAGTGGCTGCCCCGGTACTTACCGAGGGCTCCGCAGCTATTGCAAGGATGTCCGCGCTGCTCCGCGCTCCGTAACGCCCAAGCCGGAGTGGAGCCCCGATCCTGCCGTTGCGTCCCTTTTATATAGAGCGCTAACCGTCGCCCCATTGGCCGTTATTTATAGCCCATTCATTCCATTGGGCCGCGCGCCGGAGGGCGGGGCCAACGCTCCGCTGCCGGCCGGTCCCGCGCATGCCGCCATTTTGCTCGGCGTTGGGGAGGCCGCGCGGGGGCGGGGGGACCTCCTGGGGCCGCTCCCGAAGAGCTGTAGGGGCCGCGGCGCCTCCGCTGAGCGCGGACGTCTGGGCAGAATCCCATCTCTCTGCGGCATCGTGCTCCAACATGGCCCGTTGCCATGAATATTGGCTCTTCACACCTCGGTCGAGGATTCAGCCGCGGGTGTGATAACGTGCCATCCCAAAACTGAGGGTTATATAATGTCAGCACTGGCCGTAACTGTCAGTAACTGCCCCTGAGGCGGGTGCGGATCTGGCGCCCAGCCCCCGGCAGCCCGGCTCTGCTGAGGAAGGACCTGCACCTCGCCTCCAGCACCTGCGAAGCCGTGGGCTCGTTTTACAGTTTAATGTGAAAGGAAGTAGGGTGGTTGTGTAAAGCACAGCGAATCCTCTGGTTGTCATGTGCCAAAAAAAGAGAAGTCTTAAGCTTTTATTGGAGAGTGGGTGATTTCCTGCTGAAGATGGGCACAGGAACTCTGCAATCTGACCCATCTAAAGCTCACCTGAAATTCGCAAAAATAGTGACTTCCACTGGTCCCTTTGTGAGCCGGTTTGTCCCAAAGCCAAGATGCAGCGGAGAATCCTGATGTGTGCAGAAATAAATATATTAACAATGTGAATGACTGTCTTGATCTGACTTTCACCTTTACATAATAGTATCTTTATCTTTCTCTGATGTGTGTTTCTCACAGCAGAACCCATGTTTATTATCCTCCTCTCCAAACAGAGTGTACTTATCCACGTGAATGCAGATCCGAGTCCCACAGTTGCCTTCCGTGACACAAGTTGTGAATGTCAGGAGACATCACGTAAAACTCTTTCCCTACCACAATCCTTTCAGCACCACAACCAGTACCTTCACCCTAACAACAAGAAGTGAGGGCACTTTACAGAACTGCTTAGGATTTAAAAATAAGAATGTACATATAGAAAAAATCATTGCAAAATAAAAAGCCTAGACTGCCTGAAATAAAAATATACTGTGTTTGGCTGCCATCCAGATTTCCGAGTTATTCCAGGTCTGGTAGACTGAGATGCTGAATATACAGATCTCCAGGAGAAGCCAAGGGCTCAGCATCTGTACAAGTCCGGCCTCTTATCTTCCGGATCAAAGAACAAATCCTCTCTCTAGGACTGCTCTGCACTTTTAACCTCACAGAATCTTCCCCTACATATTACTAGTTTCACACAACGCTCACACTTCAGAATAGTGTAAATTGCGAGTAATGCCATGGCTAAACAAGTATTAAATGAATGTAAGCGTAAAACTGTACCGAGAGTCCTCAATAAATTAAAATATAAGTATAGTATTGCTGGATTACCTCAGCTGCAAACATAATTCTGAGTGTAAATTTTTCTAATGTAAAACATGTATTTTTAATATTTTATTTGAAATAGAAATAAAACTAAAACCATTTTCTTAAATTATACCATATTTTTGTGGTGCTGTTCTTCACAAAAAGAAAAAAAAAGCATATCAAGGTAGGTTCTGAAGGCTCCTTTCATCTTATTCCATAATCTATTGCCACACAAAGAAAGAAGCAATCAACTGTTCCGTAATGTAATTGTTCAGTAGATTTGTGGAGTCAAGGTCACCAAGATCCAAAATCCAAGGATCTATTTCTGTTCATTGGATATTCTCTTTCCCTCCCAGTCTTGCAGAACAGGGAACACCGGTCATTATAAGCAGGTAGTAGATCTCAGTGTGCCATACATTACAGCATTTCCAACACAGACACCTGTTTTTCACAGAACTTCACTCTGAGAAGCAGACATGGAAAGAGAGTCACGGGTGCAAAACCACTAAAATATGTTCAATTTATATGTTTAATAAACAGTGCGCTCTCTCACTCTTTTCCCTCACCACTACTTGACAAACTTCTAGTGTGCAGTAAGTCAGAAGTGGCTGGGTTTTACTCAGACAGCATTTTAAGATCTGCCGAAAGCTGTGTGTAAACTGGATCCTACCTTTGTCACAGCATCCCATGCCAGCTTCCCTGGTGACTTAATTACAGATGCTGTGCCGTGTGTCAACAGCCTCTGATCACCCGCTCTATCTCCCTCATCTGCTGGGAAACATTTGCTTTGGATAAGCCTGTATGGCCTGTTAGACTGCGATAAAGGCGCCAATACTCACTTTCCATGCTGGGATGGTATCTTAGCGAATACTGACTTATACATGTTGAGTTCTGCAGCTCAGGATGGAAAGGTGGGGTGATTACTCCAGAGATCTCTGCACTGAGCTTTAACAATGAAGAATTAAGGAAGTTAATCATGGGCCATGCAGCTAACTTCCTAAGAGGCTTAATTATAAATGTTGTGCAGTGTACAATTGCAAGAGGGGATGGGTGCTGGCTAGTGAATGTGTCTTCTGCAATTACTTGCATGAATGTAAGATGAAGCTGAAGATTTAGGAGATAAACATTTTCTTAAAAATGTAGAAGAATATTCCGAATTAGGAAACAGCAAGAGAAAGTAGTTTGCTATAAACAACTGCATTGTCTCCAGTTCCTAACTGACAACTAAACAGCACTTGAAAATTAAACATAACACTCATGTAATAGTAAATTAGAGAAATTGGTTATAGTTGCATCTGCTTAACTTGTCAAGTGAAACTTCTCTTCCCATTTATATTTATCACTTAAAATGTATTTGCCTAGTTATTATCCTTGGTGTACTTTTTCTCACTTCTTAGGCAGTCTGTTGAAAATTACTGATATTTTCCAGTGAGCTGAGGGCCTGTGGAAACTAGGAGTTGCTAAGTGTCTCAATCTTGCACACAGTCAGGCCCACAGTGATCTGAACATCAGCTCATCACGGGAAAGAAAGGACATGAGAACATAAACAATGACAAATATAGCCAGTGACACTAAAAATGTCAGAAAATTAAACAAAGTGGGTGCAAATATAAAGGCAAAGTAGAGCCATGATTGCCAGTCAGAAAAACAGCTGAGTAGGAGTTTGCAGTTTAAGAAACCTCTGAAACTGCATACATTATGTTTAGATTAGATGGAGGAGAGTTTCATAACTAACAAAGACTACTGCAATTATGCTATGGGTAGGTCAACACCATAACAAAAAATATGTTCTCACTGAAGGTAATGGGAAAAAAAATCCCTTTTACTTGATGGAACCACAAAAAAGTCACAGCTCATCATCTGAACAGATCTCCGTTACTGTGGTCATGACTGTGAAAGGATGACTTTCTCCATTATTGTGTATTACAGGTTACTGGTGAATGCAGCACAGTACAGAGCATTATCTGATTTAGCTGGGAACACTACCTGCACGTCCAGGGTGATTCACACACTCTCTGCTATGCCCATACCCCTCCCATGCCAGGTGGCCTGGGCTTGTTGTGAGCAGAAGATGAGGCAATACTCTCCTCCTTTGCTTCTCCTTGCCTCCTGATTACATCCCCCGTACCACCAGGGCACACAGGGCTCTCCACATCACTTCAATCCTAAACATGAGACACAAGTAGGAGTTAGTACCATGCTGTTAGGGGGTTAGATAACGATTCTGCTGCTTCTGAGCCCACATTGTGGTTTCTCCTGCAGCCTTATGAAACCCCTGTGAGGAGCTCGGTTGGCCTCGAGCTGCCTTTCCTGGAGTAGGCTTCCCTGGGGGAGGGCAGGCAGAACTTTCTGGAAGCTCCATTCCCCAAGCACTGGAGGCGAGGCTTGGGTCTGCCGATGGCAAAGGCAGAGCCATTACCTGGGGAAGGGGCTTCAGCCCTCCTGGTGGTGTTCCTCGAGATTCCTCACACGTTGGATGGGTGAGGAATGCAAGTTCCCATTGGGGCCACCAGTCCCCATCATGACTTTCAATAGTGACCCACTGGGACCCCTCAAGTTTCACAGAGAGGGCAGCTACCCGAGGCAGGAGCACCTCGGCAGCTCATCGAGAGGGGGGCTGCTGAGGGCAGTCAGTGGCTGCCCCCCCTCCTCAGGGTCCCAGCAAGGAGCACTGAGGGGGACAGGCACCTTGATGGGACTGTAGGCATGGTGGGCTGAGGGGGACAGGCGCCTCGATGGGACTGAGGGGATGGCGGGC